ATCTGATAAGCTAGTCATCTTGAAAGAAGAAATGAGCTCTCCAGCATGCACTCAGCGGTGAAAACTAAATACCCAGTTTGCGTGGATTTAGAAACAGAGAAACAGAATGAGTCAGAAGGGGTCTCACGGGCCATCTTGTCTGACCGCCCCAGTCTAGCCAGCTCCGCTCGCGACATGCAGAGCAATGGTTCTTTACGGAGTAATGGCTCAGACACTGAAGCTATGCAAGCACTTCCGTAACCAGTCCTGTTCATATTTGGCTGCAGGAGATATTCCTGTGCAACCCCCTGAAGATTCCCAGTGCATCCCTTAGATGGTTCTTTCATTGGACAAGCCCTTCTATGCATGCAGTACGGCTATACCAGTGTTTGGTTGCAAACATCACAAGTAGGAAGTTTGACGTGACTCAATGTGCAGTATTTCTGCTTACTGCTCATTTCTGTTTCTTCTTGTGTGCAAGTATCTTGGTCATCCATATTACATGGAAAGATTAGAGAGTCACATCACTCACAGGCATATGACAATTATCCATACATCCAATGAAGCAGGAACACTCCACAACCGTTCCTTGAGGTTGGAGAGCCATCACTTGGCAAGCACCGCTAAACAGAGCTGATCCCCTGAAGGTCACAGTGGCCCTGGCTTCACAAAAAATTATCTGCCACCACAAGTTTTGCCAGTCATGACCAGCGTGGGCTATACGAGCTGTTTACTGTCATCACAAGGTAGTGCACAGGGCTACAGGTGTTTATACAACAGTTTCTGCCTCAAACCAGCTAACTCAGAACAAGGCTTGAACTTCTTGGTAAAAGGCTGGTCTTGACGGCTCATAATGAACTATGGGATGCGGCCTTTTTGCTTACAGTAAGCCAGGGCACTGCACAGTGACAATCCCATTAAATCACTCATCTCAAAGCACTATGGGTCTGGGATGTCTGCTTCCTGCAGGTTTTCTTGCCTCTTACTCTGAAAAGAACAGCCTTCAATGCCAGTCCCATTTCACCAACAGACTGCCAGTTAAGATGCTCAGGTATTTGACAGAACACCCACCATGAAACAGCTTCTGTCCAGCACAGGTTTAACTAGAAAGAGTTGCAGAATGGAAGCGTCCTGAGATGGTATACTCCATCTGCAGAAGAATCATCAGTGCACTTTTTTTAAACATATGCACTGGGACCAGACTTGCTAAGAAGCACTCTCAGTCAGGAGGAAGCGCCAGCTGTTTGGCCAGTTCTGTGAAAAGCAAGCACTGGTCGATTACCACTGATCCGTTGACAGGCCTACCTCAGCCAACAGCAGGATTCAATTCCACCTCAACTAGTGGGTGCTGCAGTACAAGACTTCTGTTCACTGCTTCAGGAGACAGTGGCTGTGAGATGAGAACCCTAATCTTAAATTTATATTCAAGCTTTCTAGACTAGCCTTCTTCCAGCTACAAATGATTCTGGAGCATATCCTAGACATGGGCGGTTGACCAATAGACCAGAGATGTGGACTCCATTTATCCAACAAGCAAAGCCAATGGTGATAGGATCCGTAGCTCAGCTGAAGCACTGCAGGTTGCCCACATCTGATCTAAGGCATCAGAGCTAGGCCTTTTGGGACGAGCTATCAGTACAGAAACTGCAAACATTGTTAACAGCTCAATGTAGTTACACAGCAAAGGGAAGAAAGTGGCAGGCACACTATCTGCTTAAAACCATGTTGGCCATTACCAGTCTTCTCACTGTAGGACCTCAGAAATCCTGGAACACAGATTAAAAGGCACTTTGAGCCTCTCACTGGTTCTACAGCTGATTGTCACTAAAATGGAATCCACTGAGTCTCTGCTGCCGTTGACTAAAAGCCCTCATATGTAGGCATTTCTGCATAGGGTGGAAAGACGGCAAGATGTGTGCTGAAACAGGCAGATATTGTGTCACTCGTTCATCCCAGCACGAGCATGAATAGCCTATTTATCCTCCCAAGCCAATGCTAATACCTTAAAGCTACTGCCATTTCACTGCAGTTGTTCGCAAGATCAAGCTATCAGCTGCTGGTTTACGACTTCAAAAAATTAACCACAGAGGCACATTAAAAAGTCAGCAAGCTTTTAAAAATTAAGTTATCTTACATGAGCAAAGTTCTGAACCTGGACCTGAGAATTCACAAATTTCCTGTGTCATGAACCCCCTTTGCTCACATAAATTACAACAGTGTATTTTACCAAATAAGTATGAGTGCTTGCAAACTATATCTCTGCTAAACATGGTCTAGAAAACATTAGTACTATACACTGTGCTAGATAAGAAACATCAGTTGTATAGCTACAGCCATTTATCCCTGATAATAAGTACCAGCACAGTTGCAGTGGTTAGACTGAGTACCACCAGGGAAAGAGGTTCTAATCTCCACTCAGCCAGAAAGAGTGCTATATGACCTTAGGTCAGTTACTTTCAAATTAACATATCTCACAGGCTTGTGTCAGTGTAAAACGGGTGGAGAACTACTGTACGTTACCCTAAACTCCTTGGAAGATACAATGAAATACAGAATTTAAAAAGTAATTTGATGAAAATGGCATTCTAACATAATTCTAACATAGTTAGAAGTATTCTAACATAGTTTAACAGTCTAGCTGAACTCTATCTAGGAAGGTATTTTGCTGGGAAGACAACTTTAAACAATCCTATGGATGATTACCAACTTCAATGGAACCTACTGCCAATTATAACCCAAATAATGCAAGAAATTATATAATAAGTTACAGCCATGTTGACACTAAAGTACAATTTGTTCTGTACATCATTCTCAGAATGGAGAAATCCAGGATTAGTTCAATAAGTTTTCAGGAGGCAGCAGTATTTCAGCAAGACGCATATTTTAAATGGCTGTATGCTTGCAACTGAAGCACTAAATTAGTTGTTTCTATATTTTGCAATTAGTACTAGCAATACTGTTGACCCTCTCTATCTAAAGTGGCCTTCCCCAACTTTGTGGCCTTCAGGGGCATTTGCACTGCAACTCCCAGAATTCCCATACAGAAGGTCCATTGATTGGGAATTCTGGATGTTGCAGTCCAAATGTGTCTGGAAGTCACAAGGTTGGGGAAGGCTTATCTAAAGCCTTTCATAGGTATGGTTTAAACTACGTTTTGGAGGAGTTCAGTTTGATCCAAGGTAATTGACAACTCCTACATGCTTTCTACTATGTTTGATGTGTCCATGCCATTAACCATGGACTTCTGGAGAAATATATACACAAATTTGAATGTAAGAACTAAAAATTGAACAGACAATAATGGAAGAACTATCTGTTTGTGGTCCCAGAAATTTAGCACTGTTATGCACCAAACAGGCAATAGTCATTATTCATTCTAGCAAGATTTAGCCTCCACTTTATTAGATACTATAGACACTGTCAGTACAGTCACGCTCAGAATTTAGGCTGGCTCCAGTAAGAGTCTGATTTCTATTTCACATGCTAGCCCTGCTTAAAACTGAATGCTGTGTCAGTTTAACAAGTGAGTGTTTAGCTGGTAAGTCCATACTGCAAATTAAGAATGTCACTGCTGAGATGGCCTTTTGTGTACAGGCAGCTCCGCCTGGGCCTTTTAACACAAACTGTTCAACTGCAGAGCAACCACTCTCCTTTGATAGGGCTTTGAAGAGCAAGCCACAATGCAAGCTATAACTCTGCAAAGATAAGCTACATTTGTTATCAAGCCAAATAGCACACATCCCTCTTCTGCTGGTCGGAGGGAAGATGTTTCCACCTCACCGGCATGAATGGACAGATTGCATGGCATAACCTAGCCACGAGTTAATTCAACCCTCCTAAGATGGCATGCAGGGAAGCAGCCTCTTCCGTCTCCCCTCCCTGCAGTCACATGGCCAGCCAGGGGCTCCTCCACCAGCTGATTCTCATCGCCTATGATGTCACCCTCGTTGCCCCACTGCATCTCCTCCTCAAAGCAATGGCATTTTCTCCAGCTCCCCCCACAGCACTTCTAAATAGCCTGGATGAACCAGTTGGTAGGAACAGGGGCAACAGAAAGCGGAAAGCTTCTGAAAGAACACAGCCATTAAAAAAAGGGAGAGAGGTTGCAGCTTGCAGTGACGGGAGTGACAGGAGCGTGTCCAGCTTCAGATGAGCTTTCGCCCCCGCACTGCTCTCTCTATCACTCAGGCTGGAAACACCTCTACAGCCATTAGGCAGCAAGAAGAGGAAAGCGGGCCGTGCTGAACTGGGGCAGCCTGGAAAAGGGAGGGCACCTGCATTTACTTACCTTGAGGAAAGCATAAATCAGAGGGAAAGGCAAGCACTGGAGAGGCTAACATTCAGCCACATACATACCTATCATCATAGCTGGGTTTTTTTTTTTTTTTATTAAGAGTCTCTAGATAATTGAAGGCGGGCTCCAGCAGCAAAAAGAACAGCCCCTTTAATGGCACCACCATCTCCAAGCAGAGACGAAGACAGACATCAAGGAGCCTCCTCATTTCCCCAACTCCTTGGGTCTGGCCCCTGCTCATCAGGTTTTTGCAGGCGGTGGAGTGGAAAAAGATGCTGCTGCTGCCAGATTCATCTTTTTCCCAACAAGGTGGAGATTAAGGGCAGCTTGCGCTGCCTTCTCCCCTCCCCAAGGTGCAAAGCAGAAGACAGGGAAGATGGGTTCGTGGGGGCGGCATCACGAAGGACGCAGGACGAGCACGGTGATGGAGGAAGCCTGACGGTGCCTCTCCCCGAGACGCACTAAGGCAAGGCTGGGCAGGCAGCCACGGTCTCTTCGCGAGGGGGCAGCCTTCGGGCCAAGCCACGGCCCAGATGCCCCCTCGCCCCCACTCCCTGCCATCCCTATGCCAAAGGCGGGTGGGCCTGAGTCACAGCACGGTCAAGAGCCGAGCCCGGCGCCGTTCCGGCCACCAGGACGACACCCAGCCTGGTTACGCAAGGCCACGGCAACGCCACGGGTTCGCCCCCCGGCCCCCACCCCACCCCGGCCCGATCCAGTGCCTCACCGCTGAAGACCATGGCAGCCGAGGCGCCCATGACGGCGAAGAAGGGGGAGTACTCGGGAGCAGCAGCCGACATGGCGGAGCCGGGTCGGAGAGGAGGGGGGGGCAGCAGGAGCAGGCGGAGGCTACGTCGGCGCCGAGCTGCACCCGGAGGAGGACGGGCGGTCTCCTAGTCCTCTACCAGCACTGCTTCGCTCCTTTCCTCCCTCCGCTGCCAGGGGCTAGTCAAGGTCCTTGTGAGCGACAGCAGGAAGAGGGCAGAGCAGAAAATAAAACCGGCCAAGCGCCACAGCGGCCTTGCTGAAGGGGGGGGGGGCGGCGGCGCTCTCCACCCGCTCCCTCGTCCGACGGCAGAGGCGGCTTCTCCGCGGCGATCGCGAGTCGCTCTAAATACCCAGCCTCCGCAGGACAAAATGGCGGCAGCCCGAGGGTCACGTGGCCCGCAGTGGGCCCCTCCTCCGCCGTCCTCACCGCGCTGTACCCTCCGCTCTTCATACTTCGGACTACGCCACGTTCAAAGTGCGTATAGGGGAGCAAGAAGGATGGTTGGTTAACGATTGACAACTGTCTCGGTTAATCTCGCTATCTAAGCCCGTTTTCTCTTTTCTTCAATTCCTCTCTTCCCTACATGCTCTTTGTCGACAGGGGGAGAAAGTCACGAAGGGCCTTTAATGGCTTCTTCTCACTCCCCCTCTCTCTGCGCGAATATGGTTCGGCCCAGCGCTTCTCGGGTTCTTACAGGGATGGGTCGGCGACTCATTTTCTCTCAGGTGAGCGTGATTCAGCGTTGATTTACATAAGGGGCGCGGCCAACGCCTTAAGGCCAGCCCCTTTTTGGAGCTGCGGCGGACCTGCCTAGGTGATGGAGGATGCTTAGCTGGAGGTTGCTATTAGAAATAGGCCTGCAACTATATCCATTGCAAAGAAGCAACTTTGTATTTTTTCTGCTGTAGTAAAAACACCTAGATGGGAAGTTATGGTTAAAGATAGAACCGATGGGTTGAGTCATAGGTGCAATGGAATTCATCAGATGCATACAGTAAATGGTGTAACTCTTTCAAATTACCAGATTACCCAAATTCAGTGAAGTGTAAATACGTTGCTTGCTAGGCAACCTAAGTTTTTTCAGCCTCTTATGTCATTCTTTCAAGTCTGCTTCCCTGTACTGTTTTATGTGGGAATGAACACTGGAAATCAAGGGGCTTGCTTCTGAGCAGACATTTATTTTTATTATTTATTAAAAGTTTTTCTAACCCTTCCCCTACAAACATCTCAGGATGGCTTGCAATAAATGAGTAGAATAAAACACACACTGGATTGCACAAACAATGAACTATTTAGGCTGCCATCTTAAAGATGCTTACTGGAGCATAAATCCCATTGAACTCAAAGGAGAGGTTTGGAAAAGGAGGCAGCATCTCAATTCCAGTTTTGAAGGATACAGATTTTGTAAGGTGTGTTGCCTGCAATTTCTGTTTGTGCTTAGAGGCCAGCATAACTGTACCCACTTATACATTCATGCTCCTATTTAAGCTTCATCTTGTTAATATCTCTAGGGAGTGAGCCTATTGCTAATCTCAACTGTACCTAGCTAATTAATATGACACCTAGTTCCGGAGCAGTGCAGGTTTGTTACTAGTACAGACCTCACTTGTACCTGGAATGCCATTAATTGGCTGTTTATGCCATCATTAATTTTATACCTTTTAAACGATTTTTTTAAACATTAAACTTTAATACTTTGAAAGTGAGTCTGAGACAGGCAATGTTACCTAGTTATTATATTTACATCCTCCCTTTTCTCCTGCAAGGAACATAAATTGATTTACATGGCCTTCCTCCTCCTTTCCATTTTATTTTCACAACAACCCTCTGAGGTAGGTAAAGCTGAATCAGTGACTGTGCTGAAGTCACATGGGGAGCATCATGGCCAAGCAGGACCCAGAGCCTGGATCTCCTGACTCCTACTCCAGCAGTCTAACTCCTCTGCCACACTGGTTCTAAGTGAATTGTTTACACATTGAGCAAAAAGCATGCCCTGAGCTTGCAGAATGAGAGAATTAGAGTGAAAAAACCAAGGACAAATCTAGGCACTGAAAATACAAGGACACATATGCACTAAACCTGAATATTGTTTATGCGTAAGATGACACACACACATGCACTAAAACGCAAGGGTCCCCTGTGTGCCTGTATGTGCGTGTGCGCAGGGGCCCTTGCATGTTTGCGCTACTTAATGGTATGTCTTCCTTCCATTGGGGTTCGGAGGGGGAGTATTTGGACAGCAACCTCCTGACAATATTCAGGTTTCCTGCGGTTGTTGAGCTTCCGGAGTGGGTCTGTGGCTACAACCTGTGCTGTGCCTGGCGCTGCTGCCTAGTTCTCTTTCTGTTTTAGCATGTTGAGCCCAAGGTCTCCTGCACAGCTTGGTTTTCTTCGTTTCCTTTTGGTTTGTTGTTACTGGAAGAGACCCTGAGTGGTGGTTGTGGCAGCACCTTTCTGGTAATCTTGGCACAGATTGGCATGTTTTTTCCCTCCTGCGTTTGGTGGGCATAGGAAGCTGCAGCTGTTTGCTGCAATATGAGGCAGTGTATCTGTGACACTTGTGCAATGTTGCTTGTTCCATATTTTAATTGCTATTTGTAATGGGCCCATTGTTTTATATGCCTTTGCTTCTGGTTTAATGTATATTTATTTTTCTTGACGGTAAGCAGCTTGGCTTATCTGCAATGGGAGCCAAATCTCAGAGATTTTTTGAGCTGTCTTCCAGTGGTGGTGTGGCTAAAGGAAGATGGGGTTGGACCAAAATACCAGGACAACTTAATTTAAAGCTCTTATCACTAGAAGCATAAGCTTTTGGAGAACATGGTTGAACCTTTTAGAATGGGAGAAAATTGCACAGAAGCAACGAAGCTACCAGTTGGAAGTCCTGGAGAGTGGATGTGGCCCCTGAGCATGTGGTTTTGCACCCCAACTTTAGTTAGAAATAAAATGATAAATCTTAAATATACTCGACATAATGTAGCGTGACTGAAAGCGCTCACTGCAAGGGAGAAGAGACAAGAAATGGCTCGTTAAGGGGGTGAGATAGTGCTGAGGGGGAATATATTATTGTGGGTTGCCATCTGTTGTCATGAAAAGTGAAGTGATTACTTATTTGCTTAAGGTTTTTGTGTATCTTGAGGAGAGGAAGTACATGCACACCAATCTTTGGTGGCTATTTTGTATGGCAAAGACATTTGTTGGGCCAAACCTGTCCAGAGAAGAAAATTGGAATTTTGCAGCTGGCTGCTACGAAGCAACCTGACACATGCTGTTTCTTTCATGGGACCTGGCACAACCACTGTTCTGTATATGTGCGAGTACAAACAGATATTTACAGAAATAATACCATAACTTTAGAACATTCTGTCTGTGCAAAGGAAGTGATCAGTGAACATCCTGACTGGTGAACTGAGGAGTGCAATACTGTATTGTTATAGCATAAATACATTTCACAATGAATTGCACAATTTCCCCAGAGGTCATGCTTCTCTTTGTTCAAGTGGGGATAGCTGCCAGACCAAGGCATTCCACAATTTGGGGGATGCAGTAATATCTCTGCAAGGTATTCCAGTTTGCCTCCTTTTGCGTGGGAACAATAATTCCATATAGGGTTAGGCCAGTGATGGCAAACCTTTTAGAGACCGAGTGCCCAAACTGCAACCCAAAACGACTTATTTATCGCAAAGTGCCAACACTGCAATCAAACCTGAAAACGGAGATTTTAGTTTAGAAAAAACAATCACGGCTAGCCCAAGCAATTATATCTCTCTCTCTCTCTCTCTCTCTCCTTGGCAGCACACTGACCAGCCATGCGAAAGCTCAGATGAGTTGCAGCTAATGAGTCGTGGCTTGTGATGTCATCGCCTGGCGCCACGACTCCTTTCCGGGCATGCGCATGGCCCCTGTGTGCGCTGTTATCCGATGCTGGGCTGCTGGGGCGCTGCTGGGGTGACTTGCTCGCGTGCCGACAGAGAGGGCTCTGCATGCCTGCAGTGGCACACGTGCCGTAGGTTTGCCACCGCCAGGTTACACCATTCACCTGGAGCTTGGGAGACCTGGAACTTAGTCCCCAGTCAGGCATGAAGCTCTTTGCGTGACTTTGGGCCAGTCACTGATGCTCAGCCCATCCTACCTCACAGGGGTGTTGTAAGGATAACATGGAGAAGGGGAGGACTTGGTGAGCCACCTTAGAAACCTTGTTAGTAGAAAAAAGTTGGGACAAATGTAATAGCTGATGTTAATGGAATCCAAGATCCTTCTTTGTACCACTAGAAGTTTCAGGCCAGGTCCAGTGTCAGGGGTCAGCATCTTTGGGCAGATCTGAGGTCCTGAGAATACTAGGAGGGGTCTACTGATCACCTCTGTCCAGTCCCCACTATCAGCTGCCCTGCAAGCAGCAGCAAGATTGCCCCCCTGGGAAGGGCTGGGCCTCTTCTCGGCCTGCAGGTCTGTTCTGCCTGATTCAGGACGTGGGAATGGTGCTTTGCCAAACACCCATCCATTTCACTCAGACATAAAAATGCAAGAGCTACCTTGGATCGTACCTCTTGACATAGTAGATAATGGACTGCGCCTCTTCAGACTGCTGCACAGAAGCTACGGGGCCACACCTGGTGAAGTACTTAAGATACTCGTATTTGTGTTGTGCCATCAAGTTGTCTCAGACTTATGGCGACCCTAGAGGAGGATGCCCACCAAAACAGCCTGCCCTTCACAGCCCTGCTCGGCTCTTGTACGTGTATTGCAGGCTGCCGCTTCCTTTATGGAGCTGGCCTTCCTTTTTCTCTTCCTTTGCCTTTCCCAAACGTGACGGTCTTCTCCAGGGAATCCTGCCTTCACAGGATGTGTTCAATGTATGGCAGCCTCGGCTTGGTCATGTTTGCTTCCAAAGAAACTTCTGGCTTGATTTCATCTGGGGACCACGTGTTGGTCTAGAATATAAGATATTTGTATAGCATTTCTCGATTTTTTAAAACATTAAATTCTAGGGTATTTTACAGTATGGTACAATCAAATTTCTAGCCATATGCAGCTAAATTTCATGCCAATCAAAAAGCAAAATGGAAAACATCTAACAACCATCGTTATAAAACATGAAACGATCATGATGGCTCGGAGAATCCAAATTGGTTTATCAGATACGTAAGTGAGCTTTGTCTGAGCTTCTCTTGGGAGGCTGTTCCAAGCAAGGCTGGTGCAAAACATTCCTCTGTCTGGGACGAAGGACAAGATGTCCCCTTTGTGTCCTGCCAGCTGTTCCAGGCACTGAAAGCGATGGGGCTGACAGTCAGCACGGAATAAGACAGCTTTCTCTGGAGCACCTGCAAGCAGCAAGGGATGCGCTAACCTT